GGAAATATAACTGTTACTAATATTAATTAACAGGAAATAAAGGTCCTATAAGGTCTATGTTTCAAATGATTATCATTACAACTTCTGATTTGTTATGTAACATATCTAATTTCTTTCCACAAAGATGTGCATGAGAATAGCTATACAAAGTCAAAATATTCCAGGAATACATAATAATTAAATACATTATTATAAACAATTGACCATTTCATAAACAAAAGCTCTTGTAAAAGAGAGGGAGGAAACTGATCACAATATCAATAATTGTTATATTATGATGTTGCAAACACCAGAATCCATGTAATTAAGATAGCTTGCCAGGCAAGGTAACATACGCCCACTGGCAGCTGTCAGAAATGATTAAACAGTTTTTAGTGACTACAGGGTTGCACAATATAGCTAATAGAGTGAAACGTCAAGTCAGACACGATATTTCGGTGAAATATTATCCGATCATTGCGAAAATCAATAGGGATCATCTTCATAATGACATTGACATACAAAATAAAAATCAAAAGAATCTGTAAACAATTGTAGCCTGTAAAGTGAGCACGAATTGCACAATATAGCTATTAGAGTAAAACGTCAGGGCAGACACGATATTTCGGTGAAAAATTATCCGATCATCACGAAAATCAATAGGGATCATCTTCATAATGACATTGACACACAAAATAAAAATCAAAAGAATCTGTAAAGAATTGTAGCCTGAAGAGTGAGCACGAGTTGCACAATATAGCTAATAGAGTAAAACGTCAAGTCAGACACGATATTTCGGTGAAATATTATCCGATCATCGCGAAAATCGATAGGGATCATCTTCATAATGACATTGACATACAAAATAAAAATCAAAAGAATCTGTAAACAATTGTAGCCTGTAGAGTGAGCACGAGTTGCACAATATAGCTAATAGAGTAAAACGTCAGGTCAGACACGATATTTCAGTGAAAAATTATCCGATCATCACGAAAATCAATAGGGATCATCTTCATAATGACATTGACATACAAAATAAAAATCAAAAGAATCTGTAAAAAATTTGTAGCCTGTAGAGTGAGCACGAGTTGCACAATATAGCTAATAGAGAAAAACGTCAAGTCAGACACAATATTTCGGTGAAAAATTATCCGATCATCATGAAAATCAATAGGGATCATCTTCATAACAACATTGACATACAAAATAAAAATCAGAAGAATCCATAAAGAACTGTAGCCTGTAGAGTGAGCACGAGCCAAATGTGAGCCAAATGTGAGCCAAATGTGAACGGACGGACGGACCGACGGGGTGATTACAATATACGCCCATCTTAAATGTGGGCGTATAAAAAAAGTGGCATCAAGTGATCAGAGGAGTAATCCTAGCCTTCAACAAAGAATTAAAGAACCCCTTGAATATTTTTTGTACAAAATACTTACAAAATACATTAAAGTCTAATGAGTTAATATAACTCCCGAAATGATCTTAATAACATAACAACATGGCATAGAAGGAAGACAAACTGGCGGATCCTCAACATCGAATCGTGGTATTTGCGAAGGGGAGAAAAACTCAAAATTTATTTCACTGTGTATAGTGCGCACCCCTTCTGTAAGGGGCCTATTTTTGGGTAAAAAACGGTGCATTATATTCAGAAATATACAGTATTCTATTCTTTGTAGAAAATCTCTATAAAACCATTCTTCCTGGTTTCACAATTTTTATACAAAAGACATTTCAAGACTTTCCTTCATTTCAGAAAAAATCTTATAATCAAATGAGTTTTTCAATTGTCAATGTACAATTTTATTAAGATTCAAACCGGGCTCAAATATATCCTCAATGGAACTAGAGAGTTTCAAGTTGCAATAGTTTCAAATTATTGGCTTACAGATGACACTTTGATCATAAAAAGACCTTTAGTACCATAAATAAGGGTGTTATGTATGGAAAAAATAAAGTAAAAATTAAGAAATCTTCAGTATCAAGAGGAACCAATCGAATTTTTCAGTCAGACGTATAAGTATTTGATGACGTCACTAATTGCAAAATATGCTTTATTACAAAAGGCCTGTCGTAATTTGTGATCAGACACCTAGTTTTAGTGGAATTGATTGAAAATTTAAATGGTCCAAATTGATACTATCGGGGTCCCCAATACTTTTGATAATAAAAATAATAAAAATTTGAAATGGGAGAATTACTACCCCTATAACAAGTTTATTGAATTAATTATCTGCAGTATAACTTTATAAATGAAAAATAAAAAAATAGAGAGAAAGCCTAAAGCAAAGGTTCTGTATAGATATCAATGCCAAAGTTTTAGCCTATTCTCCACATTTTATGTCACTAGATGTAACATGTTACAAACAGTTCTGTTTATACTGTATAATTAAATAATACCCTATTGTACATGTTAAATGCTATGTTACAGCTGGGCTAAGTGCTTATCAAAGAGGGGTTGATAGCGTACAGATAACATCCAAATGTGCGGTAATGTAAACAATATCAGGTGTGTCTATTAAAAGACAATGCCACTTAGGAAAACGATTTATCTGTTCCTTAGATAACTCCTGAGAAAAAAAAATGTGTAAACTATTGTACGAATGTGATAGGGTATCAATAGGAATTATTAATACAGGCTCCACATGAATATTGTTAAATATAGAAATAGTAAAAAAAATAGAAGTGCACATTATATTGATTTGATATATCTGTATCTTTTATAACTAAAAGCTGGTGTGAGAATATAAATAGGTAGAAACACATTAAATGACCTTCTTCCTTTAACTTATTCTGTCTGTACAACACTTGAAAACTGGCAAAGAATCTATATACAATCTGTGGTAGGTTTGGCCACAAGATATACTATAGGACTTAAAAAACGAATTCCATTCACGCTGATTTATTTACCTTACAAAGTTTTTTCTCTTCATTATTGTCCACAGAGACTTTCTTTCATTTGATATATTGACTGATTCAAATAGTGATTAAAGGAATAGGTTCCATTTTTTTTTATCTAAGTCTCAGAAATGGGTATTTTTTTTTTAGTTAAGGTAATAGTGTACCCAGCTCAACATCAAAATTTGAGCCTTAAAATCAATGTGTGTCTAGAATTATCTGCCTTTGAAAGTTGAAATAAAATTTAAAAAGATGAGTCGACTTTTCTTGAGACTTAGCCATATAGGAAAGATATATTTAGAAATAGAAAGTGAAAATCCTAGTTATTAGGTATTATTGAAACTCTACCTTCAAGTGATTTAAACAGTGATTAATATGGAAACTGAGGGCGAAATGTAAAAATAAAACACATTCATCAATCATATTCACGGCTAAACATTGAGTCAATTAAAATGAAATATATTTTGTACTGGTAGGAAAAAGTCAAGACCAAAAGGGCTTAATTAAATGACTGTTAAGAGTCCCTTATTTCACAGGGTCAAAACTGCGTTCATTTCAAGGTGGTAAGATATTTTGTTTGGCAAAGTTCTTCAATTCTGTTAACATGATGTCAAAATATGATAGTCTCTCTAATACTGTAGCTGTTGGAATTAATATACAACATCATATTCATATAAAATTTACTTCTTGGATTTCTGAGGTGTTAAATTGTAAGTTCATCATCATGTGAGATCAAAATGTATCGGGTATTCAAAATTTAACAGAAGTCAATGCCATTGGCCCATATTAATTATTCAGTATATTACAGAACTAACTTGTTATATTCAATTTTTGCCGATAAATCTTATCACAAAGACAATCCAGATAGAAAAGTTTTAGATGCGCCACAATGTGTAATCAAAACTGACAAAATTTTTATTTTAGTCGTGACTTCGGTTCAAATAAATTGTTCGTTTCTCTGTTTGAAGCAGACTTGAACATAACATTATAGATGATTTGGGTACATTCTTACTCAGAAAAGGTATACAATAATATATTGGTCACACCTATTTGACCAGTAGAACAGAATGCTGGTGCTATTTTAATTACTTTTTAATATTCTTATAAGATCCAAATTTAAGTACATATATGAATTATTTTAAAGTTTATCATAATATCAACTTGAATTTTAAGACATTTACATTCTATTTCTAAACAATAATCTAGTGTCAAGAAAATATTTTAAGTAATAATGAGTAAGGTCTGCAAGTCATCAGCTATAACTTGACTAAAATATAATACTTTTTTTATTACAATTTTTACTATTTTAGAGTAAGGGACACAATCCAATTTATAGTACAATCAACAGATCACTGTTAAAACATCTCCTGTAGCACAATATTGCCCTTCCAGGTGCAGGGTTCAATCCCGGCATAGGTTGAGATAATACCTTTGGATTTTTCAACCCGGTTTCCCCCTGTCAGCAATGTAGGTAAGAGGGAATGACATGGAAAAAGTTGTCTAGTCGTTTGAATGGGACAGTCCACCGAGACCCCGTGTGCTACAGGCAGTGCACATTAAAGATAACTCAACAGTTAGAAATCAAAAAGAGCCGGCTAATGCAGCTGTCCTGGCAAAATTTCCCTCATGCTTTCACGCATAAAAGGATATCACTGGAAATGTGTCAACACACTAAAGAAGGAGAAAAGATTGTATACACTGTAATGATACCATAAAGGGACTTCTCCAGCTGTCCACACATGCAATAAAGCACACACTTATCCACCTATTACGCCTCAGTACGTGTGTTTAAGGACATATTTAAGCAGAATATTGGATTTAAATAGGAGTTTAATATATTCTTTATTCAGATTTAGTTGTCCTTTTTGTATTCAAAAAATATAAATCTTTAAAGAATACATGTTTTATGAAATAGTTATATGACATTAACTTGATTCAGCTGATTACATTTTATGACTATTTCAATATTATGTTACATTTATATATTGATGATATCTCTAGGTTTGATATTTGAACGATTTGAGTTTGGTCTTTATCTTGGCCAAAAGTTGAATGTGATGTTTTTTCACCCTGACTGGCTAACTATCTTAATATAACTAATTAAATCTATTAAATTTTTACCTGAAATTTCCACCAAAACCTCTGCTCTGTTGTAAAGTCTGGGCAAACATCTCATATTTTCTGATATCATTATCACTAACTGATCTTCTAGCAAACTTCATAGATTCCTCAAAATGAGCTCTAGAGATTTCTGGGACTGGGTCACTCTCTTCATAATCCTAAATAAAGATTTCAATAAGTAAGAACAATTCCGACATTTTGTACTCAGTATCATCTTTGCCAGTCACTATTTAAAGGGACATTCCGCATTAAGTTTTCAAAATCGTAGTAAATTACACCTGAAAATATTTCTAAAGTATGCTACAGTATGCTATATCTATGTATCTTCTGGATCAAACTGAATTTGTTTTTTTTAAAATTAAATTAAAAACAGACAGCACTAATTGCCAATTAAGGAGTTCGACCTAGTTTTGGTTATTAGTTGAAACCTTTCGAATACGTCAGACGTATGTCTCTACAATTAGGTGCTTATTTTACAGTAGTTTTCTTTAGAGCTTACAAAAAGTATAACAAACTTTCAATGTTCGCGTAATCTTACTTAAACTTTTTAAGCAGTTTTGGTGTTAAATTAATGGCTGGAATTTTTTTCTAAAAGTTAAAACTTTCAGTTACATTGAAGGACACATATCTCTAGATTTTGGTATAGTTTTCACAAATTTGAATAAAATAAAGTTTTGACCTACAAAAAAAGCGGAATGCCCCTGTTGAATTGCTAGACAAAAACAGGAAAAAAGAAAATTATAAGGAAATTAGACACAATTTCAGATGACAAACGCGTATATTTATATAAAACATACAGACCAGGTTATCTTTATGTTCAATATATGGAAGTAATGAAAGGAAATCTACATCTTAAGATCTAATGACAATGAAATTCTCATCTATAACTACTAACCATGTTAGAATCGGGATCTTGAGCTCTTTGTTTCTCAAAACGAATTTCAGCTTCAATAGACTGTCTGATAGCTAGTTTACAGGCTCGTTGACAGATTTCAGTTAAATCAGCTCCACTGAAACCATGAGTTACTTTGGCTAAGTAATCCACATCAACATCTTTAGCTACTGGTGATTTACGAAGATTAGCTTTCAAAATAGCAATACGTGATTTATCATCTGGTAGAGGAATGTAGATCAATTGATCCAGACGCCCAGGTCTCAAAATAGCAGGATCAATAATGTCAGGTCTGAAATATATCAAAATAGAATCTTATTAGTATGTAAATACATATTATAAGATATACGATTTATGCAAAAGAGGTGCATTCGATTAGAGAGTTCTGAATAGGTTATGTCCGTTTTAAGTCTGCCCTCAATAGTAAGGAAGGGGAATATGTCACTTGCAAAATTTTTCCATCTATTTCCTCCCCGCCATTTTGAATTCTGTCTACACCTGCTTTTTTTTCAGCACACGTGAAATGCGTTCTGAACTCTAATGCAATTCCGACATGTTTTATTGAATGAATTGAATTGAATCTTAAACATGCAGATCTCGCCAATCACACCACCCCAAGATGACTTAAATGATTTATTCCAATTCAAAGCTGATAATGATCTGAAAACCTGTCAATTGATATTAGGTTCTATATGCCTCTTCAACCAACCTGTGACACTTCAGATTCATATTGTCATCACTTAATTGATCTAAAAGGACTTGTAAATATACCACAAGCAATGTTTGAATAAACTGTTGTACACAAACCTGTTAGTTGCACCAATAATAAAAACATTTTTCTTAGCACTCATACCATCCATCTCTGTTAATAACTGATTAATAACTCGATCAGCTGCTCCTCCTGATAAAATACAATATCAATTTAATAAGTTACTTTAATTTATTCTCTCTCAAAACAAAACAATTTTTTTTTTATGATTTTGAAAACTATGTTAAAATCTAAAAAAGTGTCTGATAATTGTTGAATTTAAACTTCTCATAGTGGTCGTTGATCACCTATGACCTGTTCAGCTTGTGTAAAGCTGCACAAGAAAGAGGTATGGAGTAAGTAGGGAAGACATGGGAGATGATGTTTATCACAACAGTCAACCAATGCCACTATCTCTGCATAAACTGCAGCCAGCTTTTGAGTAAAAACAGAGACTGTGTTTGTTGTTAAATCCAGTCTATGCCAAGACAAGTCTGTGCTATGTTACAGGCTATTGGTTGGACTAAGTTACAAAAGGTAGAATATTCAACAGAGTGCAAGTTTTTTTAGAATGGGAATATCTACTGGTAGTCAGGGTTTAACAAGGAATCATCAATTCCACTGATGTTTTTATTAATACAAATCTACATACCTCCATCTCCAGCATTGCCACCTCTAGATTTAGCTATAGAATCTAATTCATCAAAAAATAACACACAGGGTGCTGCTGATCTTGCCTAAATAATAACAAAAAAATGTTATACAAAAAGATTTAATAGATTACATCTAGTTACCTTCTATATTGCCATATATACTAATTATAGCTTATTTGTAAATCTTACTATTTGAAATGAACCTTCAAATAAATTCATTTTTTATTGACACACTTCTCAGTTTCAAAATAACTGGATACTACTAATTATTTGAAAATATAAGCAGAGATAAATTCAGAATTGATGAAAATCAAAACAAACCTTATCAAAGATTTCTCTGACATTAGCTTCAGATTCTCCAAACCACATAGTGAGCAACTCAGGACCTTTTATGGAGATAAAGTTAGCTTGACATTCATTAGCTATAGCTTTAGCTAGTAAAGTTTTACCACATCCAGGTGGACCATAGAATAAAACACCTTTTGATGGTGTCATACCAAACTTCAAGAATTTCTCAGGATGTTCAACAGGGTACTGAAATAGAAATACAAAAATTCATTCAACTTTTTTCTGTATTTTTCTTGGGTGATGACGATGAGCAGTATCATGTAGTGTGGAATTAGAGAATCTTGCCGAAATGGAAGTACGCTTTTTAAATTTACATTTTCATCACAATAGAGCAATTGGTGCTAAAAATTTTATTGATATTTGACTTTGGGTTACTATAATGGTGAGAATATTTAAGTCATTTCAAAATATGAAATTCTGTAAAAAGAAATTAAGTTAAATATATCCATTTATATGCAAAGGAATACATACCTGGACTAATTCTTGTAGTTCTTTCTTGACATTTTCTAAACCACCAATATCTTCCCAGGATACATTAGGTACTTCAACTGATGTTTCACGTAAAGCACTAGGATTACTCTTACTCAAAGCCCACTGAAATGAATAAATGTGATTTTTAATTATCAAAAACTTTGTTAATAATACCTTAAAATATTTTTTAAATATGCTATTAACATCCATATAGCTACTGGATCAAACTGAATTTGATTTAAAAGGGTTAATTAGGAATGGAATGCACTAATTGTTAAGTATGCAGCTTAAACACATTTTGCCTCATAAGACTTGATATTCTTAAATGAAACCTTTAGAATACAACAAACGGAATAGAATAAAAGTGAACATTTCTCTAAATTTTGGTGCATAGTTTCCATTCATTTCAGCAAAATATTTTTTTTGACCTACGAAGAAAACAGAATAGTCCTTTAATAGACATCTATTAAGAATATTCTAATTTCTAGCCATGTCATTTCACATGATATAACTTTTCTTACTAATATACCAATTGAGTGCCAACTTCACAGAGCACAAATATTCACTAAACAATGGCATTTAAATCTCTCACTATAATCTTTTCTTAGTATAAATCATCATAATCACAATCATGTCAATACAATTAACTCCAGAAATAAAACTTACTCTGAAATTGTCCATAGTAACAGCTAAAGAATCTAACACTTCAGCATCAATATGTTCATCTTCTAAATCAATCAAGTCCATTTTCTCTCTAATCTGTTGAAGAGCAGCTTCTGAACAGAGAGCAGCCAGATCAGCTCCTACATGACCATGAGTTTCTTGACCAATCTAAAAATACAAAAATATTGTGAAAGTCAAACTTACAGGCAGTTGATGGAAATTTTCCCTCATGACTCTTTTCGGTTTCTAGGAATATCAGGTAGGTTTTCAGTTTTCTAAAATTTCGCGCACCACCATTTCTTTATTTCCACATTTTTCTTTACCAAATAACTTATACTGTCTTTTATGTTCCAATCAAAGTGAGATACTTTTGGTAATATTTTTACTCACCTGTTCCAAATCTACTCCTTCAGATAATTTCATGTTCTTGGTATGAATTCTCAGAATTTCTAATCTTCCAGTAGCATCAGGAATACCAATATCAACTTCACGATCAAATCGTCCTATAGACAAAGCAATAAACAAAATCAATGTATAACTGTATGATTTGTATCTGAATTCATACCATCAATATACTTGACTCTGAACTTGCAAGTTATCTGATAAGCCATTTCTTGGTAACAGTTCATAGTACATGGTGTTTTGTTCTTGATGAAAGTTGCTGCCAGGGGATGCTCAGGTGGGTCAACTCTAATCACATACCAGAGGTTGTTTCAATAGATCTGAATATACTGTTATTGTTTTTTCTTATTATTTTGCTTGTTAAATCAATTTCATTTTTCAAGAGGAAAATTTAAAAAAAATTCAAAAACATACCAAATCTTCTGAGAGCAGCATCAATGCTGTTGGGTCTGTTAGTGGCGGCCATTACAATAACATGAGCTCTTTGTTTCAAACCATCCATCAATGTTAATAATTGAGAAACAATTCTACGTTCAACTTCACCATGTGTCTGTATTAAAAGTTGTAATATAATAAGTAAGATTGTATACTGTAGAGTGGAGTATCAAAATAACAATAATCATAATAAAAACTGTATCGTATTAAAATTATTCTTGGTTTTTTCAGTACAGGGGGGAGTAATACTTGTTCATCAACTTCACATGCTTCAAGCTTTTGAAAAAGAGTCTGAATTTAGAAGGATTTTCAGCTTAACACTTAGTTTTATATCAATTTTTAGATATTGCGATAAAGATTATTTCTCAAAAATCAATAATTTTGATCTGTTCAAGGTAAACAAATTTATTCATCTAATTCAATATAAATGGCAATAGTCAGTGGCAATTTTTGACTTGGTCAAAGGTGTATAATTAAATTATTTATTTCAATTAATATCAATCCGAATTTTTCATAAACTGTAATTGAACTCTAGAGTATTCTTCAAAACATTCTTATGAGAAACCAGACAAAAAAAAAACATAGATTTGTTAAAAACCTTTTCTCTTTTTGGTGCAATAGCATCTAGTTCGTCAATAAATATAATAGCGGGAGAATTCTTTTCTGCTTCTTCAAAAGCTTTTCTTAAATTACTTTCTGATTCACCAGCAAGTTTACTCATAATTTCAGGACCTGGAAAGAATTACAATATTTGTTTTTAATATTAAGATATAAAGATAGCCCACCTGGCAGCTTTGATTTTGATTAAATAGTTAGCAGTACAGTAACAATCACCAGTATGAAATATTCAACCTTCAGTCATACACTTCTTTTGAACTCTTTGGGGCGATACTGAATAATATTGAGTATGAGTTATTGCCCATGTTCTTGAAAATGTGTTCAATTTTTAGCTCGTGAAAACTTTAGAAGGCAAATATTCAATCTTCAGCGCCTTACTGAATAATATAACCAAGTTTTGTCAAAATCCAGCAAGAATCATGCCTTTTAGTGTTTAAGAGCTAAATTTGAAAGCGTTTTCAAGAACAAGGGCAGTAACTTATACTAAATCCTTGGGTGATTACGAACATTCACACCAAGTTTCATCAAAATCCATGAAGAATTGTGCCTTCTAGAGTGATAACGAGCTAAAAATTGAACGTGTTTTCAAGAGCAAGGGCAATAACTCATACTAAATATTTTTGATTTCTCTGATTTTCAATAGGCTTTATCCTTGGGTGATAACAAACACTCATACCAAGTTTCGTCAAAATACGTCAAAAATTGTCGCTTCTAGAGTGTTTACAAACTAAAAATTGAACGCGCTTTCAAGAACAATGGCAATAACTCTTACTAAATATTTTTTGATTTTTCTGATTTTCAATAGGGTTCAACCTTGGTTGATAACAAACACTCATGCCAAGTTTCGTCAAAATCCATCAAGAATTGTGCCTTCTGAAGTGTTTACGAGCTAAAAATTGAACGCTTTTTCAAGAACAAGGGCAATAACTCATACTAAATATTTTCGATTCTTCTGATTTTCAATAGGATTCATCCTTGGGTGATTACGAACACTCATACCAAGTTTTGTCAAAATCCGTCAAGATACTTATATATACTTACCGTTAATCAGGAAAAAGAAGGCTCCAGTTTCATTAGCAACAGCTCTAGCAATCAGTGTTTTACCAGTACCAGGTGGTCCATACAATAATATTCCTCTAGGTGGCTATTATAAAAATATACAAATTGACAATAGAAGTGATATGATTTCAATCATATAATCCAAGTTAATCTTTATCTAACTTGAATACATCCCTACTCCCTGTACTTAATGATACCACCTGTGACTGGATCTTATTTTGATGAGTTTCTATGCAATCATACTCCTTGGTATTCCATGAGATAGATTGTCTTTTCACAAGGTTAACCAATCTTATGAACCTTCTTGACTGATGAAGGAATCAATCAGTTGGCATCCTAATTCTTCATACAATAACTATATGATTGGAAAATTCCCAGAGTATAAATCTAAAGAATAGACAGCAGTTTTATATTTACATGCTAACCTTAACACCAATAGCTTTAAATAATTGAGGATGTCTGAGGGGAAGCTCTACCATTTCTTTAATTTGAGCCAACTGTTTTCTACAGCCACCAATATCATCATAGCCAACTTCATTTAGAGCTTCTTCTTCTTCCTAAAATAATATCCCTTTCATTTCAATATTTCTTAATAGCTAATTTCAATTCAATTATTCTATGCTTAAATTATGACATTGCATTCTTCCAACTGATAATCAAGACCATGTCATAGAAATACCACAAAGGTTATATATAATATATATATATTATGTTTTTATAAACAGTCATGACTAATATAATCTTAAATAACTTAAATCATCATTTGAAACAAACCTAAAATATCGGTTCTCGCCAGCATCATATTTTTATTCAATTATTACTGATCAAATAGACTATTAAAAATAACCTGTGTTATATCCTTCCTTAATTCCTAACCTTAGGATGTTACAACAATTAATCTTCAAATCATGACCGCAATCAACATCCCAAATCAGTAATTATTAAGAAAATCTATGCATAATGTAATTTTTTACTTATTACCCATATTAAATGTGCCTGAGTAATGAATGTGCATATGGATATTACATAAATATATAATTGTTTTATATGACGTTGAGGACTCTCCTGCTTCACTGTTATGAATAAAGGCTTAAAGAAGTGTTGTATAATGCAAATATCTATCAAGAGTTTAGTAAATGTTACCAACCTCACGTTTGACAGGTTCACCTTCACAATGAATAACTGTATCAGGTGCTACAATACAGTAGGGTGCTGGGTCAGTTTCAATAACTTTAAATTCTACAGCTCTCATTCCACCTCTTATCAAAAAAATATCTCCTTTTCTTACTGGTCTGTAAGCTTCCAGAAAATAAGGTTTCAGATACACCTCAAATAAATTACTGAAAATAAAAACATCATATATAAATGAAATGCAGATTTGACAAGACTCGACTCTAAACAAGTTACCTTTATTCTTTTTTTTTTCTTCCTCCAAAATATCTATGATTTAAATTTTAAAATACTACATTAAATCACATATTTGAATGTGTAAAACACTTTGGAAATTTATAAAAAAAAAAACACCTGCTTTTTCAAAAGCCTCAAGTAAGAATTTTTCTTAATTCACAAAAGTTTTCACCCCTTCCCTTGTCAAAAACTACACCTGTGTAGTTTCATCTCTAGATTAAAATGTTCAAGAACCTTTACAAATTTTCATCAGAAATGGCAAATCAAAACGTGTCAAGACATTTTTGTTTGAATGCAATTCATTATCAATTTCTACACAAGTAGTTATGAACTTAAAACAAATAGTAAAAGAATCATTGCAATATATCACCACTATTATTATAGCTATTTATAAGAGAGGCAAACTAGGATTTAAATATTAAATTTCTTACCCAGTCAGTCCCTCAACAGTATCATCAATAGGTAAAACATGAACTCTCTTTCCATACTTAACATCTGGGCAGGCTTGAATACTGAAATTAATTCAAGAAAACTCAATAAATAAAAGGTTGAACCCTTACGAAATTCTTTGACAAATTTTTATTTCAAAGCAAATTAACTAACTGGCAACTGGTAATTAAATTGAAATCCAGCTGAGCTATAATCTGTAAGCTATGTGTCAATTTAGACTCAAATTCAAGAAAAAATTTGTAATACGTAACGTGGGGTTACTTACCTTACGACATCACCAAGTCTAACTCTTAAGTTATTTCTCACACATCTATTGACACGAATTTTATCATCTGTAACAGTGTCATCTGATAGAACGATACAAACAGTTTCTCTTCTTCTTTTACCTTTTAACAGAACTGTATCTCCTCGAAATAACTGCAGTTCGTCCATTTTTTTCTACACAAAAAAGAGAACAACACAGGTAAGACATTCTTTCACTGGAAATTTAAATTTCAAAACCATCCATTATTAATTATAAATATAAAATATAAAAATACAACTAAATTAGCTTTGCTAACATTATTTATTTCTAATTGATTTAGGAAATATGTTGTTACTCAAGAGTTTCATGCTATGCGATCTTCAGACAACTGACCTATTTTTAGCCCGTGTCTCTATTAAATTTGGACAAGTACAACTTATTCTCATGTCTACACTTTAAGAAGAGTTTGCATGTTCAAAGAAGTTCAATAATTATACATTGTTACTGTAATGTTAATTCTGATGTAATCTCACCTGTGATAGTGATACAACTGAATTGTCATCATTGATGGCTTCTTCAACAAGGAGTCTGTTTGGTTTCTCCTTGCGTCGTAAAATAGCTGTGGCCAAATCGTCACTGAAAAATAAAACAGGAACAACTTTAAGCTTAAAATCTTGTAAATTTTGCAGTTACAAGTTGTAATCAAAATACAATGTTTAAGACCACTTAACCCTTATTTGCGCATTTATGTTTATGTTATGAATTCAAAGGAATTGGAAAGAGGTTTTCCAATATGTGTAGGCCTATATCATACTTCTATGAAACATTTGAGTTAGCTCATATTCCATTATATTGTTCTTCAATTACAGGAACAATGAAATGGGACTGTTGATCCAAATGGAGCAAATACAAATTAAATAAGTGCTCTTGCTGTCTTGGTACACAAACACAATACAGGGAACTATAAGATTTTAATAGAAAATTAAATTCAATTTCATTATCATAAATCAATAAAGCTAAAAAACATATTGAAACTTTACATACTTTTCCATGATAAAACAACAACTGCGTCACAATGTTCCACATGCAAATGTGGTCAAAAGAAGAAACAATTAAGTCTAAGTATAGTGTTTGTAAATAGACTGCTTGTTGATAATATGATACTCCTTTTAATATTATATGGTATCTAGGCCTAATTCTAAGAAATCTCTCAAATATCCAATAATATTGTCATCCTTTAATACCTTGTTAACGGAACCACAAATGAAATATTACTAAAAGATTCTAATACATCATTTCAAATATATTTAAGATCACAAAATAAGGATCTATATTTAGCATATAACAAAGACCATGGCTCTGATGTAGCAAAATTGAAAATTATAGACCAGTGTGTAAATGACACGTTTGTTTTGAAATGAACGTCATCAGCAATATCAAAATGTAATGAATGAAGATATTGTACAAACAAGAATTCAATTTGGACCAACATATATTCTGTTTACCTATGATGATAGAGAAAAGGGCATTTTGCGTAGTGAATATATCCTTTTTGAAACTGAAACAACGAAGTCTGAGTGAGCACAAAAAAAAAAGACGATGACGAAGGCGATTCGATGGAAATTACATAAAGCAAATTTACATTCCCCTTTTTGTAGAAAATATATAAATTCTAAATATGAATATTTCATAAATTTGTGATACCTTCCAGACTCAGCCATTGTGTCTTCTTATTTACTGTGATCGTTAGTGAGAAAATGCGAACACGAGAAACGCAGCAGTCAATGTGTATCTCAAGATGGATGGTTTTGCGTATCACGTGACTCGAACGCTTTTATGGACAACAAACTTGGCCAAAAAATACATAACGGTATCGGGAATCTACTAGGAAAAATGTATTTGAGGACCTTAGTTTCATAGCTGTGAATTTTCTGATCTAACTTCTGATAAAGTTATATTTTATTCTAGCCTCTGTCTCTAGCCAGTCCATAGCAAAGAGCTATATGATAAATAGGCCTAGTCTACTTTTAACACTCTACAAGTCACTATTAGACTATTTACGGATTTACGCGTTTGATATTTATCTCGTAAACACTCTTCAAGTCACAATTCTTTACGGATTTTGACGAAACGTGGTGTGAGTGTTCGTAATCACCCAAGGATGAACCCTATTGAAAATCAGAAATAAATATTGAATATGAGTTATTGCCCTTGTTCTTGAAAACGCGTTCAATTTTTAGCTCGTAAACACTCTAGAAGGTACAATTCTTGACGGATTTTGACAAAACTTGGCACGCGTGTTTGTTATCACCCAAGGATAAACCCTATTGAAAATCAGAAAAATCGAAAAATATTTGGTATCAGTTATTGCCCTTGTTCTTAAAACGAGTGATCGGTAGATCTTGGCTTATACCAAAATCCAGAAAATATGTCCCTGGGCTTAATTGAAAGTTTTAACTAAAAAAAAAGTGCCGTTGTTTTTAACGCCAAAATTTACGTAAACTTTTTAAGTTCATTTTGCTTTTTCGGAAAGTGTTGGAAAACTTCTGTGCGGATTTAAGCAAATCAAACGCCTAATTATAGATAAATATGAATGTCTCCTATGTTTAGTAAAGGTTTCAACTACAAATATTGAGTCTTTATGAGACCCAAAACGAACACCTAACAAGCTGTAGGCCACACTACATTTTTAATTAACTCTTTTAAAACTAATTCAGTTTGATCAAGTAGTTACATAGATGTAAATAGCATATCTTAAAATATTTTGAGGTATAATGATAAAATTTTTGACAATGAAATTTTTGCACAATCCTCGCTTTACAAGTGCCCTAAGCTCCCCACCTTTCCACAGGCAGAGACAAATTGTGCTGTTTGTCTTCTCTGAATCTTTACGGAATCTATGTATGTTATCAGATTTCGGACTACCCCTAGCGAGAGTTACAGATATTTTGGAGAAATGTTGGGTTGTTCGGACTGTCAATAAAAACGGAAGATTTATTTATAGAAGTACACACAAAATGGTGACGTCATTGACTCGTGAGGTTTCGTTCACTTCAAAATGGCTGGTATCAGAGGTAAATATCCAAAGATCTTCATAATTTATATCAGTATATCTGATAATTTTACTTTATTAAGTCCAAATCCTTCATATTTTTTTCACGTTTCAAAATATAATTGTCTCATCATAAGATCTAATATCAATATTCGCTTGAATTTTGTGGATGGTGAAATGACAGATCTTGCCTACTACTGACACTCACGACACGTTATTGGCACTACCTTTTTTAGGCTACACTGTTTCTACTCTATTGTCACTTTCTTCACTGTTTGAGTGTTTCAGTGTCATTGTCACTACTCAGTACTTTACTCTACTGGCAACTCTTATTGTCAGTGTCACGTTAGAAAGATAAGAATAAGAATAATATTTTCATAAAAGGCTTAGAAGTTCACAACGTAATTGACTTCAGACATTCATTGATAATTCAGATTTTATAGATTACCTTGCTTACTTATCAGTAGGCCTACTTTTAAGAATGAAATGAAAAAAAATAGTGGATATTTAACCTTTTGCCAAAAACAAATTTTTCGGTTATAATTTGATGAAAAGTGTGTTTTTATCAAGTAACTTTGTTGGAACCTAAGCTATTTAATGCATTTTCAATGCAAAATCATGCACAATGTAACTATTACTGACAAATAACGTAAATGTCATTAATTATTATGTTAATGGTCCTTACAAACTCATTTACTTTATGAATTTTCAACAACTCATTAATTCAATTTTTTCTCTTTCATATTATTTTCCTGAACCTTTTGCTGAACTTTACAGCGTAAGTAAAAAAAAATTATATTCAGTATGTCATAATTAGTTCATTAGTTAATTAAGGATAAGAAATAGTTGTGAATGAAGATTTCCAAACTGAAAACTGCATGCTGATGTGAAGTTACTAAGCTTAATCAAAGGAAAAGGACAAGTTTTCTTATGCATTTTGATTTGATTATAACTATAAGATTATAAGAAATAGGTCCATGTACTTTTATATCATTTCAATGTGAAAAATACTGATGCTTATACCAAATGGTATCCTTTCGGCAATGGTTGTTCTGTACAAAGTTCTTTTTTTTATATGAACTAATTTAAAAGTATTGCTTATTCTTTTTGTAGATTGATAGCTCTAGCATTTGCAGCAGCTATTGGTATAACATTTCTTGTTCTGGGATGTGCTTTACCACAGTTTAAGTAAGTTGGTGAAAATGTTACAAATAAGTTTTGATATTTTTCATGAAACTTTCTTTTAACTGTGCTAGTTTTCAAGGTAAAATCGAGGTTTAGTACAATGATATATCAATTTTAATATACTTTTACAGCATCAAGTTTGACTGAAAGGTGACTTTAGATCACAATGCATTTGTCAATCATGACCTATAGAAGTTCTCAGGTGTTTTGCTATTATATTTCAAGCATTTTGAATTACATTGTATGTAATGTCAATCAAGGATGCTCCATTTTGAATTTCATATAATTTTAGAACAGTTAGAGATTTTCAACTTTAAGGATTACCTTTGTCTTTCAGTGTATATTTTCAAGAGCTTTCAAAAGAAAAAAAAATTCCTTTCTTCCTCGATCTTAATACAAACTATTTATTAAAAACATTTCCTTTCTGTCCATCTGGCCAAGGATTACTGTCGGTCTATCTGCATTTTTTGTAGATATGATAGAGATGGCAGTTTTTGTGCAAGTTCATTGCTCTTGTTGACTAAAGCCCATTGAGAGCCCGGTGTACAACCATTAATTTTGGGGTGTTTTCTCACTTTGCAAGATATACATATTATGACTCATTTGATATAGATTCTCGACTTATTTAAGTCAGTTTGGAGTTACATGCCAGTGTGGGGCGACACTAAGCTACATTGTTATCAAAATATCATTACATCATGAATCATTGAATAATATATATTTGTATATTGTAGTAATTGGTGGCCTTTGTTTGTGTTATTTTTCTATTTTCTGGCACCCATCCCCACGGTGGTGTCAAGAAGACTATCTTCATTTGATAGTGCCAGCAGTGCTTTAGTTGAATTGTGTATATTTATTACCACAGGAATAGTTATCTCGTCAATAGGCTTACCTATAGTTTTAGCTCATGTTGGCACAGTAAGTATTTTGCCTTTTTTAATGATTTTCACTTTGCCACGTATAGAATGATGTCATAAGTGAGGTGCATGGAAGAATGGAGATAATTACCTGGAAATTGTAGATGATGTTACATTTCAAAGTATGCTTTATATGGTTAGCATTGAGCTTAATCAGCTGTTAAAGCAAATGGTCTACAATATCCCTGTAATATACATTTTATATGATATACACTCATAGTATGACACAGAAAATTTATATTTCTAGCAGACTGACTTAAAGATGTGTCCATATTCAAAGAACATATGTGTACTATTAACTAAGTCTTCTAGCATACAGATACTCAACTCAAAGACTGGGAATGAACCAAAAAAGCTAATATTTTTGCTGAAATTGTTTTCATCTGTTTATATGAAATATTGAAAATGAATGAATTTTAGTATTATGATATTGATTGTTATTTTCAGATACAATGGGGTGCTTGTGGGTTAGTGTTAGCAGGAAATGTTGTAGTGTTTGTAACAATCATGGGATATTTTGCTGTGTTTGCTAATGATGACTTTGATTATAACAACTGGTGAGAAAAGGCTAGCAAACTTTAATTTGCTTTTGATATATTTCAATCGAAAAAAATGAACAAAACTTCCGTCATCTTCAATCATCCAACAGAGTCATAGGATTAGTTAAGATACTTTTGACTGCAGCCGAATTACAGAATAAATCTGAGAAATTAACAAGTGTCTAATGTGTAGATATAAAATGAAGGGCTGGCCATTTCTACATTTATGTACATAACAATGAAACACATTGGAGTCAAACTCAAGTTTTAATCAGGAAGACTTCTTTATGCCCTCATGAAATGTTGAGCATATTTTGTCATCATTTTCATCTGTCTATACTCTTGTGAACATTCTGTGGAAGATACAGTTCTGGATGGAATATGAGAAAGTTTGTAAAAATTACTCAGAACAGTCAAAAGACTTTTGATGTCAATTGTATATGACTCACCAAAAATTTTAAAAATGCTTTTATTTGGAAGAAGGGTTTTTTTTTTTTGGTCCGCTAAGCTGATTTATTATTGCAAAACTGTATAAAGATGCTTTTATATAGTCTTAGTTCTATAATCAATACTAAGATTACACTGCATCTGGATGATATTTTTACTTTTATTTTTCACACAAAAAGTACTTAAATGGACAGATTCACCATTAATTTGACCAATCATACCTTAGTTTTAGAAACAGAATTTTTTTAGCTAAGCTCATCAGTAATAGTGTTCTTAACTCAATGTCGAAATTTGAGCCTTCAAATCAATGTGTGTCCAGAATCATCCCTGTTCGAAAGATTAAAAGACGACTCGTCATTTCATGAGGATCTGAAGACTATTGACATTATATTCAAGACTCCAATCAACCCCGAAAATGATGAATCTGTCCCTTTAAACATCTCACTATGAAAATAGTTCTTCACATGAACACTGTTTTTATCCCCTGCCTTATTTTCATTCTTTTCAAATCATATGCCATCTTCTAGTAAAGTCTATTTATATTACAAACCTTGTTTTTGACAATGAATATAATTTTGTTTTGTGTGTACATGTAAATGGTTTTAGTAATCAAAGTTTATATCAAAAAGAGAAAAGGTAGAGCTAGAACAATTTATTTAGTACTGGTAGTTGTTTATTATTATTATCATCAACCTTAGATATTTCAGTTGAAAAATTAATGGTTTTGTGGTAGTTGACATTAATCTGTATCATATTATAAAACAAATGATTGAATAAGGTCTTGACTTCTTTTGTCCAACGAAGGAGTATACACAGTAGTATGTAATAACCATGCATAACGACATAATCCAGCCAATGACTGTTGGGGAAATACCTTTTCTGGGAATACCCTGACGTTACAGTACAGCATCCGTTAGCGCAGAAAATTGCTCAATTTTCAATCAGTCTGCGGTTACGTGGAAACTTTTGGGTATATGCAATAGGTTTTGCCGATAAATTGAGTTGTTATAACTAAAAAGAGAAGGAGCAGTTTTTTCATGCTGACGGATACGCACTATGCTTGCACGCCTACAAACAAAAGGAATCTGGGCTTAACTCTGGTAGTCAAAGCGTGGTATCAAATTTAATAATTATTGTGACAGATTTGTTGTATTTTTTTAGATATTCTCTTAAGATTTTATACTGTGAGATAAATGTATTTTAAAATACAATTGTGTATAATTCAAATTTCAGACAAGATAAAGAAAATCTTGCTTTAGTTTCTTGAAATATTCAACATCAATTTTATAATATTGTCTATCTACCCTTTTACCTAAAATTAAGTTATTTAGATTACAAATACTTGTATTTATATTGTTGTGTATATATATAAATATTGTTTATTTATAATCTTGTACTATGCTTCTGTAATTGCTTGTTGTATTATAGTTTTCAATAAATAAACTGATAACAATTTCCTTTGATCTTTTCTTTGTATTAATAATATTATAACTTGGCTTAAATCCTGGTTTTTGCATGATTAACATAGTTTACTCTGTAAATGTATTGGGAGAGGGTAGTAGGGACTGATAATTTCTGACATATAAGACTGACCTTTAGCCTCAACAACAAATCTAAATTTTATTCATGATTGTATTTAATAATATCTGCAATGTGTTTGTGTTCAATCATTTTGGGACATTGTATTTTAAGACAATCTATAGGCATAACTGTATCTTAGATGAAGCATGTTATCCACGTTCAAGGATAACACATAATAACCATTCCTCAAGCAGTCAAACCTGTCATTCATGTTTTAAGTAAAATTTATAAAACGTTTTCACTGTTATCAGATTTAAATAGCATAGCCCTTCAGGTTTAGTGATTAAATCGATACTGCAATTCTTAAAGCTTAAAGTAGCTTAGAGGTACATGAAAACATTTCTGATATGGATTCTAAAATGTAAGATAAGTATAGGCCTATAATATTCCTGTAAAAATAATATTCCATTCTGAAAGAATCAAATTTTACAAGTATCCTGGTCTAAATCTAGTATCCAAAGAGCAGTTTTAACCAATGAAATTGCAATAACTGAAATATCTTGATGGGAGAAGTAAGACTTCCACTGTTATTTGAATTTTGATGAACTTGTTATCAGCATTTAATTTTGAGAATTGATACAGAATGCTGTTATTCAAACATATGTTAAATGATTATATTCTAGGCCTACCTATCTTCCACACCAAGTCAAATATTATTTCTAAGCAGTAAGTAACATAGTCTTGATTGGGAATGTCTTGGGAATTTCAAAACTGTAGCCTAATTAATTTCAATCAAACATTTATACGGTTCTAAAATAATGTTTGAAACATTGGAAATTTTGTATTGGTCTTAGTCAATAATTACTTCCCTTGAAATAACATTTTTTTTATTTTGTAAACATTTAGATTTTTTTTCCAGTCCATTTGTTCAATGTTAATGCTATTTGAAGACTTGATATCCAAGTCTTATTAGGCGTCTTTAGCAACCAACATGGAAGACATGAAACAGCTGAGTGAAGTTGAGGTAAAAAATATTGCACAAAATGAGGTAAATTGAAAATAGAAAACAAGGTTTCAAACATATCTTAGATCTATATTTCATTATTTGTACATTTAGACGTCATTCATTACCGTGGTAGGCCTATAGGTTTTACTCCACACTCTTTTTCTCTCATTTCTTATAGGCCCATACACTATGCCATTTGTCTTCAAGTCTATAGAAATATAAAGATCAGTGATTTTCAATCGAAACATTTCCCTCTTAGGAAATTCATGTAATAATGACCTACTTTTTACACTGAAACTTTCCCTCTGTCTGTAGTCATGTTTTCCGTCCGTACTGCTTTTTTGAGAATCTATTAGGTTTATCCTGGAATTAGACGAATTTTTAGGCCTGGTGTAGTTCTATTGTGGTTGTCCCCTACTTACTGCAATACTGACCCTATTTTTGAATTAATGAGAAAAGTCAAAATTTTACTGAATTCTTAGCCCTGTAGATTAGGGTTAGTTCAATATCAAATCTACATCACAAAGCAAAGTTTTTGCCACTCAATAACAAAAATCACCATTGTTTGGGATTGTGGGATTCTTTGTACAATTGTTTGATTTTTAATTTTTCAGAAATCTAAAGGGTGTTTGATATTAGGAAGATTATTAGGTGTCTTACCTTATGATAGAGAGTTGGATATGACAACAGATATCTATATTGAATATATCTATGATCATATAAGTTATTGTGTTGAGAAGGGGTTTCCATGGAAATATATTTCTTATACTGTTCAGTTTGCAGATGAATTGTTAAAAACATCAAAAGGTGATATGTTTTTTACTTCTTATTGTTAATTATCAACCAAGGATATATCTTAGCAATATTAAAAAAAAAGATTATTTTTAACCTATTTTGTAAGTTATTGTTTTTGTGTGTTTGAATTGTGGTTGTTTAACACCTGTGATGGTTCCATTTTCCACAAATTTTGAGGCAACCTTGTGGAACCTATCCAAAAATTTAAATATAGAGCATTATGTTCTGCAGTATTGCACTCATGAAGCCAAAGGAAGAGCTAACGACTAAATAAGCTTATTTAAAAAAAAAAGAAAAATAATAATTTCTGCTCCTGTGAGCATAAGAATGGTTCCTTATCCACTATAAGCTATTGGAACATTTCAGATCTAGTCAGAGAAATGGGTCTCTAGCTGCACTACTGGGTAAAATAAAATGATGGAAATAACCAATTATTGTCGTTACAAATTTATAATTTCGATTATCGATTATCAAATTTCATAAACGATTATTGATCGATAGCCTGCTATTGATAATCGTTACTCAGCCCAAAACTAGTTTAAGCTGCTAAATAAACAATTAGTACACTCCTTTTTAATTAACCCTTTAAAAACTAAATGAGTTTGATCAAGTAGATACATAATAATATATGTAAATAAAGCTTTTATTTTAAAAACATAATGATAATGAAAATGTTGCATTGCGCCCCTTTAAGCTATTGGAAACATTTCAAGTTATTTCAAATTGTATGTTTAGATTTAATTTCTGATGTAATATTTTTAAAGGTAAATCTCTAGCAGAAACAATATCATGGTACAGGCAGAAATCAGCAGAGGTGGTTCATATACTGGGAGAGGAATTCTTTAAAAAATATACTGATTTTGTGTTCACAACTTTCATGCCTCATTATAAATTATATCAATATGTATTCCTAAATGAAAGAGAAAAAATGATACCACATGTAGATGTTGAAATCAACCCACCCGTCTCTCCATTATCACTGAAAGAATCTAAAGAGAAAGATATATTTGAATATGAACAGAGAATAGCAGAGTTAGAAAAACATGAATTAGAAAAGGAAAAGGAAATTTTATTAGAAAAAGAACAAATTCATGAAAGAACAGAAGAGAAGACCAATGAATTGTTGGAAAAAATCAAGTTGAATGAAGAATCTTTAACCAAAGAGGTAGATTTTTCTTGTTTCATTGAATAAAATAGCTGTCACATGCACATCTGTAGGATCCATTTTTTGAAAATGATTTCTAAATTAGCTTATCAATAAGTTCAACAGTGTTATTTCTCTACAACTTATCCCAGTGAGGTAACAAAGTTAAGATGCCAACAGGTGTAGGTATACACAACAACTTTCCAATATCTCCATGTGTAAGGGCAATGTTAGCTATCTAGCCAGGGGTTAGGTTATTTGATACCAAACAAGCATATATCAAATCACTACAAACTTTTGAAGAAAGTAATTTTATTAAAAATTTCTTCTTATACAAAATCACTGGGTTAGGTTAAATTAAATGCCTTTTTTTTTCAGAGTTTGAGTGAAATGATAAAAAATGTGATACAAACTCATACTTCATGTTTAGCAGAGGATCTCAAATTATCTATCATGAAAACACAGGAAAGTTTAGAATATAAGTTAGAAAAAACTAGTCTACCACGACCTCAAGCATTAGGTAAGCATTTAATTCAAATCTATTATTAACACAAAAAATGGTTCTATGAATGTTAAGTCAAGTGCTGACATTAGCCTATTAGGAGGCATCATGTTGGAATAAGAGTATGGTCAATCATGCCATGATATGATACATATCGTGATACAGTGGTGGGAGACATTGGTTCAAATTGATATCACAATTGATTTATCACGATATGGGTATATATATTTCTAAGTATGGCTTTTACTGGTTTTTGATACAAAATGCTCTTTTTTATTCTATCTAAAAACTTAAATGGAAGAAAAAAGCAAAAATTATCTCTTAAAAACACCCCATTCTTGAATATCATAAAAAAATATGTGTTTCATATAATAAGTTACTTGTTAAAATTGTGTAGATGATCTTATCTGGACAAAAATTTGATGATATATCATGATAACTATCATAAGCTTATATCACAATATGGCAATATTATGAACAATACAAATTCCTATATATTATGTAGTATTTATCTTGATACCAGTATATAACCCAGCCCTATCATGACACAAGGTTTACGATGCGTATCTCGATATGAGGTAATGGGATCAAAATTAACATTCTATTTTCAAAGTTTCAATTCATATTAATTTATAACTTTATAACTTTATAACTGTGATATTTGGAAATTTAGTTGATATGTAACATCCACTGTCTTATATAGTTTTCAACAATTTCAATCAAGTCTGTGAAAAAAATTGGTGATTCTTTTTACTAATTTTTAAAACTCTCCTTTTTTTTTTATTGAATGAGAGGTATCGTCAAGTATCGATTTATTAGAGCTAGAGTCAACTATATGTTTCAGGTCCACCACCAAGATATAAACCCAAAACACCAGTGAATCAAAAAGGTAGAAAGTCTCCAGAAACTAAACCCAAGTCAGCATCGAAAATAAGCTCAAAATCGAAATAATTTTAAAATCATTGTCCTTTGTTATTTTATTTATTAAATTTTATTCTAATCCGTCTGAATTGATAATGATTTTTTTTTATGAAAGGGTTAATTCACTTTCAATCCATTTTTTATCAGCTTTTTTTTTTAATTTGGCCACTTCAGTCAGGGCATTCTTGAACATTCATTTGTTTAATTATATTGCCAGCCAATCAAACTTCTGTCCTCTCCGAAGCTAGGATTTTGTGACACAAACAAAAAGTCTAGGCTATTCCCAAAATCATAAGACACTCAATGCACCTTTTGTTCGCATCATAAAATCCTGGCGTTGGATTGGGAATGTTGGTTTGGAGTGTTTCAAAGACATTGTCATTATTGGCAATAAAACTTGATCCATATGATCCACATTATAGTTTGTAATACACAAAATGTAGTAGTTTTTTAAAACTGACATTAGAAAGAAATTAATCGAGACCAAAAAAGATGTCGGATTGTAAGAATGTAAGAATACTTTGATTGCAGATTTCATAGAGGACTCTGTAGCTCTGTTTAATATATGTATTGTATTGAATTATTGCAGTATAACAAATCAACATGTTCGTGACTGTTGTTTTATATATAGCAGCTAGGCACAACATGCCTTCAATGAACTTTGATCCCTGATTAATCTTTCTTTCAAATTGATCACCTTTTTCAACTCCAATATAATTATGAATATATTAACAAAGACTTTTATTTATCATAACTTTGATTGTACTGGAACAATTCAATCACAGAAGTAATTTTTACAAAATATTTAATGAAGTTAAAATACATGTAGTTACAAAAGATAATATATATTAACATAAAGGAAATTCATCACAATAAAAGATATAAAAATAACATATATTCTTATTTTTAATCCTCAAAGGTAATAATTACATTCAATACACATGGAAACAATGTCACAGATGCCATCTGTTTTTGAGAATTTGAGCAATATTGTTTCAATGAATCTGATTGGCATGGAATAGATCTTATTCAAACATCAGCCATATTGAATATTGAAAGAGGCTCATAACGCAAAAATAAAAAAGGTTGCATCGCTTGAGTGCAGTGAAATCGCCAACATCATGTCTTTATCCCCTCCTTTTCCATAGTTTAGTGATGTCATATTATAGACTATTCTTTCATATGATGTCACTATCTTATCAATAGATGACGTCATTTGCGTTATGAGCCTAATATTCGATGGTTTCAAAACAAGACATGAATAAGGTCTATTAAATACTATATATATATATAGAATATTAATGTTCAGATTATGTGACTGTTATCTCAAACCTAGATGTTGAATGTAAATGCCTAGCCTTTGAGAGCTAAAATATGTGTGAATCAACAACATGCTAAACATATTTATAGATTTATTTAAGTAAACCATACAATCAGATCTTTTTAATCAACAAAACATATAAAAAAAATTAGAGTTAAGACCTTCAACAATATAGCTTTTGTAAAATAAATATCTAAAAGTGAGTGCTCTGTATTAATAATGATATGGCTATAGTAATAATAAAACATCTAAATCTAAAAATATAATATGTTACAAAATATAAACTTGCTTTACCCCTCCAAATATTCACAATATTGTCAAATTGTTTTCATAGTAAATGTATTTTGTAGCATTCTTAAGACCTGAATATTGAATGCATAACTATATTGAATACAAAAAATAAGAGTAATTTGCTATATGCATTACAGACTTGTTGGTATTTTATCCATGTCATGATATTCCCCACAGAAAAAAGATTGGAAGTCGCATTTAAATTTCGAGGTAGAACTGCATTAATAAGGCATTCATTCTTAGTAGATCAAGACCCTAATGACCAACACTCCATCAGAAAATTTTTTATAATTTTAAGACATAAATAAAACATATAAATATCAGAATGATAACAAGTGGTTGCCTAGCAAGATACGCCCACTTTCCTGATATATTTTCAAATCATACCAAAAATCTAATTTGTGAAAGATATTGTTCATTTAATCAAACACACAAAATTCAATAAAATTCTGACAAACTGTCATCTCTATCGCATCTACAAGCCAACAAATTTTGATGCATTTTACTAAGTCAAAGGCAATAACTCAAATTCCGTCAAATTCAAACTTGACTAAGATCTCATCATTATTAATGATCATACCAAATTTCATTTAATTCAAATGAAAACTGTTGTCTCTATTATGTTCACAAACAAATTTTGACACATTTTTGCTAAGTCATAGACATTAACTCCAAAACCGTTCATCCAATGATCATCAGATTTGAACTTGTCCAAGATCTCATCAATGTAAGTGATCACATTAAATTTCATTAAAATCAGTTAAAAACAGTAGTCTTTATTGCGTTCACAAGCCAATAGACGATGACAATATACGCCCACATATAAGAATAACATAATGGCTTATAAATATCCAATTGCATAGAGATAGTATTCTAATATATAGCAAAATAACCTTGGTCGCTGAACCTTAATCAGTTCATAAAGCGTGCAACCTTGTCAATTGAGAGTCAATGTTTAAATACAGTTCGCCAGGCAAGGTAATATACGCCCACTGGCAGCTTTGATTTTGAATAAAAATATTTGGCAGTACAGTGACAATTACCAGTATGAAATATTCAACCTTCAGTCATACACTTCTTTTGAACCTTTTGAGGCGATACTGAATAATATTACTAAACCAAGTTTCATCAAAATAAAAATCATACAAATATAGATATTGATTAATTCAAAAATTTGCATTTTAACCTTCAACTAGGTATTAATATATAGTATCTGTTGATAATGAATATTAACATAATAATGTATTTTATACCTTAATAGAAAAAAATAAACTATTACTATAATGTATAAATATGTAAACTATATAAAAAAGGATTTCAACAAAATCAATAGATCAACTCTAACAAAAAATCAGATATCAAACTCTTAAGAGATGGTTTTCCTTATTTTCATTTATATATATATATATATCAATAGAAAGTAGAGGTATTCTAATGAATAGGAAAAATACCAGTTTGTCTCAAAAGCCTGTAATTAGCTAATTATGACGAGGATTTCCATAGCATGACCATGACTTTTTTTCGAATAACCCATGTATACAGTCAGGGACATCCGTGATTGGTTAAAAATTAGTTAAATATGCCAGCATGTGCACTCCTCGCATTCCTTTCTTTTCTCACAACAACAATACGACGGCTTGAAGAATGCACAGTTTACAATTTAAAAAAGGCTTCAGATTCAGAAAATAAAGGGAACAAAGAAGAAATGGGATCAAGATTACACATTACACATACAGTATTCTAACAAATGAATATTTTTATAATTCATTAAAAACACTGATTAATCAATTAGTAAGCATGATTTGAACAAGAAAAATGAGCAAAGGCTTCTTTAATATATCTATACCATGAAATCAAAGGGATTGTAAAAAGTTTTTCATCAAGTCATTATACACACAAAATGCTTGTATTACATAAGACCCTTTGTGATTAGTGACATCATCAACAACTTCAATTTATTGGAATTACAGGAACCACAAACATTTGATTGAAAATTAGAATGGTGCAAATTGATGCCAATAGTGTTCTCCCTAACAAATTTAGAAAACCTCTGTACAATCCCTTTAAAGCAGATAGTAACATTGTATTATAAATGATGTAACCATAACACTTTATAAGATTTGAACGACATATAGAAGCGAGGAGCACATATAACAAAAACACAAGACAATATTATGGAATATAACACACTTCTTTAATAAGGAAGTGTGTTATATTCCATAATATTGTCTTGTGTTTTTGTTATATCCTAACACTTTAACTAACACTTAACATTGATGTCAAAGATGTTGGTATACTTTGCAATTTTTCCTCTAGAACCGATTTCTGCAAGCAATTGAGTAAATTGACTAGCTTTTAGAAGATTGCCAACAACATTGTTATGCTTATTCTGATACATGGTTTAGTGTCTTCTAATTTTTTTACAATATTTTCACTAATGGACAAAAAAGTCTTATAAGCCATTAAAAATGGACCAGATCTTTCAATTGGGAACCTTGTCCATTTTATTTCATTTTATTTATATCACTGAATTTAGTGGCCCCATTGGCTCAATGAAATGATGAATCCTGCTAATAAATTTCATACATAAAATATAGGATTATTTGTTACAGGATTGTACAGGCAAACACATTCAAAATAACAAAGGGGAAAAAATAGGACCAACTCCCTACCATATATATATACATTATTATACATTTTATACTTAATATTGTTTTCAATTATTGGCTACAATGGTAGTTTGATTATAAGATATTAACACCGCTATATAGTGATGTTTTCATAGCACCTAGAATTTATCTTAGCTCACATCAGTTTTTCTCAAAGAAATACTACCTCTTAGAACCAACATTCAATTTAGACTTTCAAACTTGGCCAATAAGTGTAATGTGGCATAGCCAGGATTTCATTGACAGGGATTTTTAAGGATACTAGTCAATTATATGTTCATTCTAAAAGATACTTTTAATTCAAAGGTTAACTCTCCAGTATCTACTGTATTACAAATGACAAAAGCTCAAAATTTAAAATTAAAATAAAAACGAAAGGAAATATCACATTAAAAACTATTATTCATTTCATTCCAACAGAAGTCTATATTCATGTATAGTTATATAAAAACTGTCAACTAATACAGTATTAAATCTGAGATATCTAATACAGGAGATTTTGACATTTTGCTCCACAATTGAGATAAATAAATTATGAGATCAATTTACAGAGCTTAAAACAATGGTTGTTTTGTATCATCAAAATCTGACAAAATCTAACAATCAGATCAGCTGTTTCTTATAGTGTAATAAATACTTCATGAAAAGCAAAACGTTTCTTGAATTACTTCCATTTATTTTCATGAGAATTGGAATAGTAGCCTTAAAATAGTACTGTTAGTCTCAAAATGTCTTTGTGTTGATAAAAATATGAACATAAGCACACATTATTTCTTCAAAATTTTTTTTTACAGAGGACAATTTTCAGCTAAAATTTGAGATTTTCTTGGTTGAAATGTGTTTCTCCTTAATTTAAACTTACAAAAAATTATATTTTTAACAACACAAAGACATTTTAAGACTAACAGTATTATTTTAAGGCTGTTATTCCACTTCTCATAAAAATAAATGGAAGAGGTTCAAAAAACTCTTTGCTTTGCCCAGACAAAAATAACCCAATATTAGTAGCTTTAGAGTACATGTCAATGGTCAACCTACTATTCATCAGAGCAGTCGCTAGCTGAATTTATTCACGTCTTTTAAGTAAATATTTTAATTCATAGTACATGCAATAGTGCAGCAACCGTTTAGTTGATTCTTAAGTATAACATTAAAAGTATACCTAAGCTAATCCAATGTACACTAGCAAACCGATGGTGAAAGCCAATACTACCACAATGTGAATGATCAATATAGCTTGTTTTAATGTACCATTCTGAAAAATAAAATAAAAAACAATGTCCAGTTATTGAGTACCATACGAAATGTTCAAAATAAAATATATTATCCTATCATTACTACTTTTTAAGTAGAACCTAATAGTCTATCTGTTTCTGTAATCTATAGTGTTTATTTGGAGTTGGTGATTGTATTATTACTTTTCAGTACAGTATATTACTATTGCAAATAAAAAATATGATCAATAACGACTTACAGCAGGTTTGGATTGTGTATCAGGAATTTTTTCAGATTGTCCACCTTGTAATTCATAACTATCAGTTTCTGAAATACAGCAGAAAGAGTATTCTTTAAATTAATTACAATTGAAAAATAAATATATCAACAAGAACATTTTGCAATTTATAGGACACGATTTCAAATAGTTTTTGTTGTTGATCTTTGCCATCAATAATCAAATTTTAATGCTTTTAATAATTAACAGAATTAAATACCATTTCAAAAATAGTGCAAACTAAGACAAATTTGATTGCCTCCATCTATTTATAAAATTCGCTTTGTCAATCTTAATACAGTTACTGTCAACAGTAATCTTTATTCTGCCCCAGTCAACAAAAACTATTGTGTCAATCTGTATTCTGCCAGTCAACAAAAACTATTGTGTCAATCTGTATTCTGCCACAGTCAACAAAAACTATTGTGTCAATCTGTATTCTGCCACAGTCAACAGAAACTATTGTGTCAATCTCTATTCTGCCACAGTCAACAGAAACTATTGTGTCAATCTTTATTCTGCCACAGTCAACAAAAAAATTTTGTCAATCTCTATTCTGCCAGTCAACAAAAACTATTGTGTCAATCTTTATACTGCCATAAACAACAAAATTCCATTTATTCAACAAAACACTATTGTGTAAATCTTTATACTGCCACAGTCAACAAAATACTATTGAGTCAATAAAGTATATACTATTGTGTCAATCTTTATACAGCTACTGTCAACAACATACTATTGTCAATCTCTGAAAAACGTCTGTCAACAAAATACTAATGTGCCAGTCTCAATACAATTATTGTCAACAAAATTCTATTGTCAATCACTATACAGTTACTGTCAACAAAATACTGTAGCCTCCCCACCCTCTCACTTCCCAAACGATGTAAGCTCGTACATTTCCATTTACTGTTCGGTATTGGACGGTACCCTCACCGCCCTGCACGTCACTACACTTTTACGTCAAAATCGGGCATCCCACATCCAAGTTACCTTTACTCTTATTTCTCCCAGCTTCTCTTAACCCAGACAGCCTGGTGAAGTCTTAAACCCTCCTACCTTGGAACAAACCAATCCCAGTACAGATCAACCCCGGTAAAAATCCACCCCGGTAACCCCGATACTTACAAACCCCGGCAACCCTGGTAAAACCCAAACCCCGGTAACCTTCCACCGCAGTCCATGAACACTATAAATAGAACCCTGCAAAGTAAATCTAATCAGTCTGAAGAGTTCAAACATGAACGGAACTAGTCACTGATAATTAGGGATAACTGGTCGCACAGCCAACCTTTATCTCTTATATTATGTAATTCTGTCAACAACAACTTTTGTGTAAATTTCTATACTAAGTTATTCTGTCAACAGAATTCTATTGTGTCATTTTCTGTACAACTATGTAATTCTGTCAACAAAATACTATTGTGTAAATTTCTATATGCAGTAATTCTGTCAACAAAATACTATCGTGTCATTATCTATACTGCTATTGGGAAGATTTCTAATATTTATAGATTCTAAGCATGTCATAAATAATCAATAAATCATCAATACTCAGTTTGATCAGAAAAAGATATTTGTTTAAAAAACATGAAAAATATAAAAGAAAGTAGATGATGAAAAAAGAAAAAAGAAAAAAAAAACTAGAAAAGATACACATGCTAATTAAAATAAATCTTGAAGATTTATCAAAAGTTGCACACAGAATCTACAGAGTACAAACATGCTCACCTCTGTTAAATACTTTTTCCACTAGAGAATAAGAGTAATTAAATAAAAAAAGTTCATAAATTCAAGCTTCAAAGAAATATAATAGTTGACATAGCAGAATTTCAAAAACTGAAATATTTTCATTATTGCATATTGATAATACGAAATAGATTATATGTCACCAATTTACACAAGAATACAGTGATTTTGACACAATTTTTACACAGCATGAAACAGTTCACCAGATGTATTTTACTCTTTTTTGAGATCTACCGGTAGCTATTCTATGTTTCAATATCAAATTTTATAAAATCAGATGAGAACTGACAATCATTTTTTTTTTTAAAACCTTTACAAAAATTGTTAACTTTAACTTTGATGGAAATTTAAAAAATGCACACATAATATAACAAGTATCAGATCATCCAATTCAGATTATTGTTTGTAAAGTCAAGAACAATAACTCATAGCAGTTCATTGCGACACAGTTAATTGTAAACTCCTTTTCATACCTAATTCTAATTTCTATCATGCTGATATAAAATGTTGACAGATTGCTCGACAGCAGCAATATTCATTTACATTTTCAAAAGCCGTATGCAAAAACAAATCACTTAAAAAGCCAAAGCCAAATTTTTCTATTTAAACTGCGACATAGCGATTAATGAAGTCTCTATTTTATATGGATAAATTATTTAGGCTCTTATTCATCCAATGGGCAAAAGCATAATAACAAAACATAACTATAACATGACTATCATAATTATTGATGATGCATAAAGGCAAAATATTTTGAAGCATTTCAGTAAAATCTTAAACCTAATTTTACAATACATAACATTCATTATCCGTCTACACTGCTAATATAAATTTTGTTTTGAGTAGGTAGTAACTTACTTTGTTTGTTGCCAATGAGTTGTACCAATTCTAAACATAATACAACTAGTAACTGCCATACTGTAAAACCTACTACAATCCATACAGCATTTTCAGATAAATTAGCTTTACCCATTCTGGTACCAATAGCTACTGTTATTACTGAATATAAAAGATAGACCAAGGTGGCAAATTCTGGACAATGTTACATGTGATGCTATTCAGTCTATGAAAACATTTATTATATGTTGTGATAAATGCTTGCAACCAAATTCAGTGATGCATTAAGGAAGGGCTGACATGCAAAATCACATCTGGAACACATCAATAGACTGAGCTCCCATACATAGTTAATGCTTTCTGTACTGTTAAAATTTCCCAAATCGTACAACATTGCTAATTGACAGGTACAGAAAAATACGATGTAAAATTCCCAGGCATATGATCATATAGACTTCCAAGATTGTCACTGTTGCAAGGTCCGCTCAATTTCAGCTTTCAGACATTCTGTAACCATCTCTTAAACAGATCATTATGACATCATCAGCAATGTGTGCATTGATATTAAAAATAGCAACCTGAGAACTTGAATAGAATTGAACTTAATGAATATTCATTTTCTCTGCTACATTTTATTCGACAGCAAATAAATGTTCTTTATGCTATAGATGGTGAAAATGGAAACCAATCAGATGGTAATCTAATATATAAACAACTCTCTCTCCTCCTCTCACTAAACTACTTCACTCAATATTAAGATATTTTGACTTACCTCCTAAAATATAAGCTACCGTACCCACACCCCAATGTGCCCAGTTAAATATATATCTATTATCAGTATTAGGATGAGGTCTAAACAGTGCCATTATTGGCTGAAATCAAAGACAAAGGCCAACTTAGTGACTGCATGTAAAGTAAGCTCTATCAACAACTTGTCTTGTCTCATCCTTGACAGACGGACAATTATGCCCATTTCATATAATACATCAATAACAGGGTGTACGAAGCAATACATTTTATATTTTTATGTGGTTCTGTAGAACAGTCACTTAGAGCATTCGTTCGGATGTCATTTGCCTGGTTACATTACAAATGGTGGTTATGGGTTCTAATCTCAGTCAGCATGTGAAAGTACAATGACCTTGAATAATTAATCTTCACTCATAATTCCAGATGACCCAGCTGTATATGGGTACAGATGATCAATGCCAAGAGATTCAGCCAAGGACAAACTTGTAGATAAGATCCTATTAGAACATATATTGTTATCATTGTAAAATACAGTTGTTTCTTTCTTAATAAGAACTGAAGTTTTAATATTCCTTTGATACTTACATTCACAATAGTTAGAAAAGTTACAATAACTCCCAAATATGGATGAGCCTGTTCAACTGATATATTAGACTGAAAAAAATAACCAAATTCATCATTTCATTCAAGCTCTCTTGACAAACTTTCCCTCATAGCTCACTGCATTACATTTCTGATCTTCATTTGCCCAAAAATGTGAAAATATCAATGATCCTTAAAACCTGACTCTCACAACAGACTTTAGTCATGATACAATGTTTCGCAACAAAAGTCGTTTGTATTATCTAAAAAAATTTTCGTTTACTTGAAACTAGTTTCTATCTGAACAAATGTTTCGTGTCTGTTGTGTGCGTTAAGTAAATGCATTTTAGAATTTTCCGTCTTCGACCAATCAAAATATAATATCTTATCACATGAAATAACATTGTATTTGAACCTTGTGGTCATGTGAGATTAAAGTCAAGTGACAAAGCGGCATACACATTTCTTTTGAACGTTGTCCATTGTGTGCGGCTACAGAATACTTGAAAACGTAACAATGTTTTTTGGTTTTCAACAACAAAAATCTGTCTGGGTGGGTGGAATTGATGTAGAATTGATTAGGTCAGTTTCAAAAGTATATGACCTGGATTCTAAGAGTCTGCCCAATAATAAATAATCGTTTTAGCTGTTATTATTTCTTTACATATTGGGGGGAACACCTCCATTTTTGTTCAATTCTGAAGTCTTTATCCTGGCCTGAAGAAGCATTGCAAATGCGAAAATTTGACTCATTAAAAAGTGAAGGAAGAGAGAAACCATAGTGTTAATATTATAGAAAAAGTATAATTGAATAAACATGTCCTACCATTGTCCAGCCATCAACTTCAACAAATATAATAATAAACGCTATACAGGTAGATAACAATGTTAAAATCATACATGTTCTGTGAATCTAGGAAAAACAAACAACATATTCATTTATATTGCTATATTTTGGTACAAAAACTGAATGTTATGACATGCGTTGACACTTTAATTAAAATTTACTTATTTTTTAGTATCAAATTAAGGAAACTATTTGATTAATTGGTGCTTCTCATGAATTATAATGTATTCTTAATCATATCATTATTTTCTTATATTGTATGTAATTAAGAGTTTTGACCATAAATGTCCATGTATGTCATTAAAACACCTCTACTTTCTATTCATATACGTATTAGCATTTTTATTTTAATAAATGAATCTTTAATAACCCCCTTCAATAAAGTGACTTTATATAATTCTAGGTAAAAGAAATAGTCCCTCAAATGAGGATTATTGAGATAATGGATTTTGATATATTCTACATCAGAAAAACCTTTTGCAACTTACCTGAAACCAAATTTTTTGACCTATAAAAGTGGAGTTTGGCCAGATTGGTTTAAAATATCTAGCAACAACTAAACCTATACTAGCTGCTGTTATCCAGGCTATCACCATTAAGGCACCTATAAAATCAAAACAGTTCTAACAGATATTGTCTTTAACAAAATAATAATCAAAAACTTTTTATTTATTTTGCAAAGGTCAGAAGGTTGCAGTGGCTCAGTTACACTTATCTGATTGTGGCAATGGTTCAAATAATACTTGCAGGGTTTTCCACCTATTTATACAATAGGAGTGATTCATTTTAGAGAGGCTGACATGGAAAATGTGTCTTGTCATTCAGACTGGACAATAAAACCTTGAAAAATTTCCCTCATCACACATTTCATGGCATAGATATCTTCAGTAACCCACCTACTTGAGGAAAAGTAAGACATAAAACACCCTTTTATTTGACAGAATTGGGTCCATTACACCAAAATGACATGATACTGTCAAAGATTCAATCCTACGTGAGATAAAATCATGAAAATAGACAACATACGTCTTGAGAATAACGATTTAACTTACCATGAGCCAATACTTTTGATTTATCATAAGGTACAGCAGAGAAATTCTCTGTCAGTTTAAAATCTATAGCCTGAGGTGATACTGTTGGTATTAATCCATGTTGATTTATTTCTAGAAAAAACATTACATTTTCCAAATAATTTTAATAATAAGGTTTTCATAACTGTTGATGAGCACAGGTTTATTTAATATATTTAGTTAAACTAGGCTTGATGTAACCAAAAGTGTCTAAGCATAAGCTGAATATTGACTTATTTTTGTTTTTGCCAGCAGACTACACAGGAGAAGTTTAACTTTGGACTAAAAATATCAGAAATAGAAATTTGTGCCAAACATTTCAGCTTTCAAAGTACTAAAACATATTTTTCCCACTGTTTATAGAGAACTTAGGCATAAATTTACCCCAAATTAGAAGTTTCCATCAGAATTTTCATTTTTTGTCTACTGTCAGATAAAAACATATAAAGACATAAAATGATAATGTGACATTTACTTATTCAGATTTAAAGGGATAGGTTCACTATTTGACTAAGCTAATCATTAACAGCTCAATAATGAAATTTGAGCCTTCAAATTCGAGTTCATGTATATTCAGAGTTGTTTTTTCTTGGGAGTGTGTCATTTAAAGAAATAGAAAGTGCAACTTCTAGTTTAAGGTATTTGTAAAGGAATTATGCGATTTTCGTTCATTTCTAGTACATCTGTAGACTATTTACATATATTCAAGACCCTAATCAACCCCTGAAAATGGTGCTTCTCTCCCTTTAAACAAAATGTCAGACATAGTATAACTTTTCTTATCAATAATCTAATCAAAACGCGTGCTATAACTAACTAACAATATATAAACTTACTGGCTCCTGTTGCTTCAGCTGTTCCTTGAGCAAAGAACATATAATGTGGAGTATTCAAGTCAACTAATTTCACATCTCCTGATCCTGTAATCTCTCTTGTAAACACACATTCCAGAATTTTATTTTCATAACTAGCAGAAGTCAATGTTATACCAAGTTGCTGAAAGATGCAAGAACGTATAGTTTACAACAAGCAGGTCTATCTTACTTTGCATGAGAGTCTTAAGGATATACCACCTTTTAGGATGACCAAGAATATTGAAAATTTTAACCTTGGCCAAATTGAATCTTTGTTCTTTATTGGACTAACCTTGTGCCAAAATTATATAAAAGAAAAATCAATAAAACTAAGTAATCATTCAGTAAACTCAGAATTTTTGAAACATATTTAGAAACATGTTTCAATAATCATTTAGTTATATCACAAATTCCCATAAAACGGGAAAACAATCAAAAGTATACACTGTTGTCCTGTTGGTGAACGTTTAGGCTAATTGCCTTCTTCAGAAACACTTCAGTAGCTTATGATCACATTTTTTCGTCTTTCCTTTACCTACATAAAGTTTAAAAGAAAGATTATATAAAAATTGTGATTATAAGCTACTGAAGTGTTTCTGAAGAAGTCTATTAGCTGAAACGTTCACTAACAGGACAATAATAATCATTTAGTATAATGAATATCTTCTGATATAGAGATTCTATTCTTCAGTGAGACTTTATATTTTATGTCCATTATAAGAGGTAGTATCCATTTAAGTACATTTACAATTTTGATGGTTGATCACATTTCAGAGGATTTTAAAATCTCACATTAAATTATAAAATACATAATACACTACAAAGTAAATTTAACCACATAGTTTTAAAATAACTTACATCAGCATTTCTGGTATTACTCCTGCCATTATTAAATGATGTTGCAACCCTCAAGTCAGTTGTTTTCATACATTCAATAACACTATCATCTCCCTAAACAAACAAAGTTAGTCAAAATGTAGATCAGATTATCAATAATCATATGAAGTTTTTAAAACAATAATTATTCCCTCTCCTGACATGTAAATCCAAAACTGATTTGACAAAAACCCCTATATTGTTGAACACTGGGAGAGAAGTCCTGTTTTAATAAAGCTGTATATATTTAATAAATCATAAGGCAAATTACATGAGGTATCTAAATAGGTTTAAAAACCCTGTATCTGCGGAGATGCGGAATGTCCCCATTTAACAGGGCTTATTATTTCTGTCTCTACACCAGCTGACATCTGTCCAAAGAGCTATCAGAGGCTGGAATAGAGACAGATGTTTCGGTCTAAGTTTCAGCTATCCACAAAACTTTTCCAATGAAATTATGATGTCCATTCGAAACTCCCTTCTACTAGAAGATTGTTGTTACTGGCTTAACTCTGACATTTCACTTTCACTGGTATGTGTTTATTAAATTTCAAATTTTCATTCTGAAAAAAAATGTACCATGCATAGCTAAAAGTGAAGTCTAAATATGGCAAATAGGCTGAAAGTTTTACCATTTTTGTATCTGTAGAAAATCCAATAGCAGCATAAACATTGGTATCAGAATCAGGTATAGCTTTTATTGTAAAATTAATGTTTGTTGAATCTAATACCCATGTTGCCAGGTATGTACACTGTCCAGTAGAATCACAATCAGAATAACAACCAACAGTGTCACCACATCTTGTATCTGCTGCAAACTTGTTCTCCTGTAAAAACATTAGATGGTGATGTGCACCAGTGGCCATAAAAATTTAAAAATATATTCTTCTTTCACTTTCAAAGCACATTAGGTGTATTCTCTGCCTTCTTGCATTAGAAAATTGTTCAGTGGGAGTGAGATTACAAAGGCAGGGGCTGAAGAGAAATAACTCTTGAAAACTCTAATATCAACTATGTGGTTCAACAAGTCAATCAAACCAAATTAAGTTTTCAGAGAGGCCACAACTAAATTAGCCTCACCATATCATTCAATAAGACAAAACTTACAACTTGGGTAGTACATCCTATTTGAGTTTGATTAGAATCAGATGCTAAATTTAATGGACCAGAGCTATCCTTAACAGCTTCTGATGTTACTGCTTGCCAATATCGACTGTTTGGTTTTTCGACAGTGGTTACTCTAAAACAAACAAACAAACAAGCATTTACATATCTGACAGTTCTAGGAGAAAAACATTTCAACAATATATCTTCATCAATTTCAGAATATGAAAATGTATTTTCAGTATGCTGCAGACTCTATGACATGAAGACAAATAGCAGAATAATGTAGAGCAACCAGAATTTACTTAACTAACATGGGTAACAGTAAATATAACAAACCATAAAGGCCTGAACATACAGAGCATATTCAGATATGAGATATTGTATGTTGATTGGTCAAGGATGGAAAATGTTTTAAAAAAATGTTTTAGGCCATACAAAATAAATAGTCTGTTTTAAAGGCCCTAAAATGCCTGATTATTGACATAATATTAAATGTACATTAAATTTGTAGTAATAAATAATAAATGCTTTTGCTCGCTCCGATTTATTCCAGTTGAAAATCTAAAAAAGCACTTATAAATAATAAATTTGCCCTCTTGCCCCGATTTTTGACAAAAAAGGCCTGTCATTTTGTATGACTGAATACCACATACAATATTTTCACTGATAATAACCTGTCATTTGCATCAGGTTTATTACCATGTACAAATACATTTCAATTTCCAATTCACTGATGCAGAGATAAATTGATTTCTATATAGCCTATACAGAAGGTTATACTATCTTTATAGATAAAGTATCTGGCTTACTTACTTGAATACTATATGACCTTGTATTGTAGCAGGGGCTGTCCATGTTAAAGTCAATGAAGACCTTGCTACTGATCTTGAATGAACAAGCTATAAAAAAATAAATCATAACATAAAACAATGTGTAATTTGATCAACAAAATAAAACCCAAGGTTATATCAATATGTCAAATTTTAATTTTGAAAAGTTATATGGCTAGTTTGAAATGAGCTCTTTCAAAGCATCAATCTACAGTTATGTAGATGCAACCAGTTATCCCTGATTATCAGAGACTAGTTCCGTTCATGTTTGAACTCTTCAGACTGAATACACTCACCATTACAGATTTCTATTCATACTGTTCAGGGACCCTAGTGCAAGATTACCAGGAGAGTGGGTTTTACCGGAGATGACGTGGTTTGTATGTATCAGGGTTACTGGGGTGGCATTTTACCGAGGTTGATCAGTACCGGGGTTGGTTTGTTCTGGGGTAAGAAAGTTAAAGACATTCACCAGATTGTCTGGGTTAGGAGAAGCCGGGAGAAATAAGAGTAATGGTAACTTTGACGTTGCGTACCCGATTTTGATGTAAAGGGGTACTGACATGCGCAGGGTGGTGAGGGTACCGTCCAGCACTGATTAAAAGGAGATGTAGGAGGTGATAGGGTGAGGAGGCTAAAGGGGAAATCTAAAGTTGGGGCTCTTAGAGAGAAGTGTTGGTGTCCAGGTTTAGATTTTGTAATTGATTCCATGTGGTTGGTGCCTATTTATAATAAATCTTACCCCTCTATTACTGCCACTTCCACATAGTGGTTTTGTATCTGTAACAGCAGTAAAAGACCCTATTGGCGTTGTTCTATCAGCTGCAGCTGTATCTGCTCGTCGAGCTTGTATCATAAAACCACGAAACTCATTACCACAATTAGACACTATGGTCACTGAAAATCAACCAAATCCATTACAGAAGTATCACTTCACTTTTTTGACTGAATAAAACATTAATACCATATATTTCGTATCAACATTTTCATATTAAGAAGAGTTACACATTTTTGGGTTATGAATTTGGGGTATAATACAGGTCAAACATATCCCGAATACGGGTTCTGACATTGTCTTATTAACCCATATTAAGCTAAGCCCACTACACTTCGTTTTAGGGGCATGGAAGTGAGATTGGTGTTATCAGCTCCGTAGAACAGAAATGAGGTCATGTAAACAAATCACAACATGGCTTTGACGCCGCCAATTTGAAGAGTAAAGAACACATTCTTTCAAGTAAGATTTGATTTTCTCTCGGCTTCAATTCTTTACCAAATATCTTACTCAATTCTGCCCTGTCCATATTAATCAAAACATTTAATGGCACACCACTTTCATTTTACATTTACAAACAAAGTGTCAAAACTGAAATTATACTAGCAAGACAGCAGGGCCAATTTTGATTGGAAAATATTCAGCTATGAATATATTGGGGCATGGTTTGGACACAATGGATACGGTATGTAACCAATCATACAGTTATCATTGAAGAATTTCAGGAGTAACCTACAGCATGCAACGTGGTGATCGCAACATTATGCTTCAAAATACATGATCATTGTGTCTGATAACAAAATTTACAATAGAATAAAGTAATGTTAACTAATGTTAATACATGTATTAGTAAAATTATAATAGATAAATAACACCCTAATTACAGACAATACAAACAACAAAAACAAAATATTACTTTAAACTTATGATTTAGATCTAAAGACCAAAAGATGATGATGGCAGGAAGATTGTCATAATATATACCTTGAACTGTTGAACCAGCAGTATAACTAGTAGTTGATAATTTAATCTCATAAGGTGATGGTGGTGTTTGAGGAGTAGCACCATGTAAAGGATTCATATCAGTACAGGATTGACCAACATTACCAGAAGGGTATGAGAGGATATCAGGTATATTAACACTGATTACCAGTATCATACTGAACACTGTATAGAGATTCATCATTCCAACTTTAACAGCTCTAAAACAAAACAAAACAAAAAGTTATTTCCTAATCTTTCAATTATATTCCCTGTTTTGGTTTTGACAACAAATTTAAGATACATTCATTTGAATAATGTGCTGCCCAGCTTTCAAGGTTAGTCGGTTTGTGTGTTTTTAGATTCAATTCCATATTGTTCCCGGTAAATTGGAGAAAATTGAAACCACTGTCTTTGAATCTGGGAATATTATTGGTTACTTTTTTGTGAATTGGGAATATAATTGGTTACTTTTTTGTGAATTGGAATATCAGCTTCAAAAAGACACAGTATCAGAATGACACAAATACATACAGTCAAAATTTGAGACATTTATGGTTTAAATTTCTTAAAGGGACAGATGCACCATTTTTTTGACCGGTCATGCCTTAGTCTCAAAATGGGGAATTTTTGAGCTTAGCCAATCAGTGTCATCTGTTCTTGAGACACTGCCATATATGAAAAAGTCATTTATAGAAATAGAATAAGAAATTCCTAGCTTTAGGTATTTTTGAGGGAATTATGCGATTTTTGTACATCTCAAATACTTTTAATAACTATTTACATGGACACAAATCAACCCCCCAAAAATCGTGCATCTTTCTCTTTAAATTATATATTATATCAAATAAAGTTTAAATAAAACTGTTTTAATGCAATGTTTAATAATCAGATAAAAAAAAAAAGTCAAGAATCAATATGTAAATGTCTTTTCGATATAAAAAAAAACAATATCTCTTCCCAATCCCATGATTTGCATTGTTTTAGAAAGGAAATAAGAATGAATTTAATCAATGTACAGAGAAACTAGAAAAAATAACACAAGGGGAATACAAAATAGAATTCTTTAATATTAACGATAAAATATATGAAGTCTCTAGGCTGATTACCTTTGGTACTTGAGAAGAAGTATAGTGTAACTGAGATGACTTGAATCAACTTGAAATGAAATGGATGTTTACATCTCACTTTTTAGTACCTGATTGGACTAATGGAGAAGTTTAAATAACTTGAAGAATGAGGGGTAACTAACTAAGTGACATAAGTAGCTCTTGTGTAATACAGAATGACTAGACAATTTTTCAATAATAGGCTACATTCAGGTTACAATTTGAGATAAAATGTCATTAAACAGTCTTGCCACTGACATAACAAGGAATGGTTTTATTCATATCAGATATCAGCTATACAAAATCTACCTAGAGTTGCTGAATGGTAAAAACTGACCGAAGGGATTAAATTAGCAGGAATATATCATAGTATCATATCATGAATACAGGTTTTGACATTGCTTTTCTGGCGCCCATTTGAAGAAATAAGAACACATTCTTTCCAAGTTAATATTCCAAAGTAAGATTTGATTCTCTCTCGGCTTCAATTTTTTAACGAAAATCTTACTCAATTCTGTACTGTACATATTCATCAAATTATGTAATGGCACACTGCTTTCGTTTTGTTTACATTTACAAATAAAACATCATAACAATTGATTTGTTTTGATTGACTGAAATTTGCTACCAATACAGAAGGGCCAATTTTGATTGGACAATATTTGTCAATGAATATGTAATTTTTCTCACTTGTGTTACCACTGCCCAGAGGAATTATGACATAGGGGTATGGTTTGGACATGATATCATAGTTCTTATGTCTTAAAAATTAGTTTAAAATCTATTGAAATTATTCTTGTCTTGGTGATTGCAGTATGAGGTCATGCAGAAATCACATAAAATAAATTAGTTTTTGATTAGCTGATGAATTTAATGAAAGCATTGAACTGGCTAACAAGGGTAATGGAAAAACCTTTAATACATTATAATAGGGTTGTATGGGGAGAAAGGATAGGTGTTATCTATCCCAAATGTATGTTGTTTTTCATGGATTATACATGACATATAGAAGATAAACAAATAAAACTTAAAATCATGTGAAAAGTAAATCATAAGTATATATAGATTGTGACCATACCTTTTAAAGGTAGTCTAGTACAAATAATTATCTCTCTCATACCATCAATGTCATCTTTGTCAACTTAAATAAAATATTTTTAGTTTAGTAATAAAACAGAGTACATATAGAAAAATATTTCACATACATTTCCTGTCAAGAAAGTCAAATGCTAACAAAAAAATTATAACTTGTTAACTAAATTATTACTAATGTATCATTTTTGAATAACATTTGAAGCCGCAGTGACTCAGTGATTTACACGCTTTCTCAATGACCATGGTTCCATCTTGGCGTAGGTCAAGATCATACCTTGGGATGCAGGCTAGAGGGGCTGACATCGAAAAAATGGTCTAGTCATTCGGATGGGATTATAAACTGAGTGCTACAGGCTGTGCATATTAAAGATCCCTTGACAGTTGGAAATAAAAACAGAGCAGGCATATGCGGTTGTCCTAGCAAAATTTCCATTCTTCATTAACCCGTAAGTTTAACTCCATTGATCTAATTTCATTTGAAATTTGAATAACATTTAATGTTAACCAGATGAACTGTGATACTGCTTTGACCTTCAATTGAAATCCACCATGGAAATCATAAAATGAATATCAGACCAAAGGCAACTCAGACTTAATCATACTTCAGACCACTAGCAGACAATTCTTACGTCTGTTTATAAATCTCAGACCAATGTTAAAGACAACTCGACCAAAAAGTCAACTGAAAGTGATTTGATTTGTCCCAATTCCTATAAAATTGTCAACTGCAAATTCAACAACGATCTCAATGGTGGGTTGAATATAAATGAATGGATGAATGAAGTACTTTAGTGCAAACAGACAGAAACAAATCTACTGCACAAATACAAAAAAAAAAGGATTATTTTTCAGTTATATAGTCTTTGTCAATCATTTAAGAGAATTAAATAAACAGCTATAAAATATATAATGCTGTCTAAGCCTACGGTTGATGAAAATCCCAGAAAAAAGAACAAAATCTTTCATATTTTATTTCACTGAGAGAATTTTTAGTTAAAAACATGGTTCATTTTTTCATAATGGAGGATATTTTTATTTAAAATCTGAAATTATAATTTTTGCAATGGATCGGAAGATATTCCTAAACAAAAGCTGAGGAGGCCTCTATTCTGAAACACCACTGTCAGGGAGTAAATCAGGAAGTTCTAAAGAACTGATCATTGGAACATGTGCCACGTATAATGTATGATCTTAAAAACATAGTGCTGATAATGAGAATGTTAGCTTCTGTCTTTACAAGCTGGGTCTAGAAGAAGGTAAAACTGTATTGGAAAGCCAAAATTGAACTATTATATAAAAGTTCCACAGTTCAAAACAGACTGACAAAATATCTTATTATTAACACCATTTTACTTTAGCTGTGGTCCTTTACAAGCTTTTAATGAAGTTCATTATATTGGTATGTAATTGATCATGATGATGTAAGAAGACAATAAAATAGTCACTAATTAGAGGTTATTATTCTACGAAATAATACTGTTCATACTGTAGGTATTACACACCACTGACAAGAAGTTTTTCAGACAATTCACAGTAGACCTATTCTATATAGTCTGAAATAGAAATGTTCTTCCCATGATTTCTTTTATTAATTAACATGATGAACCCTTGACTTATTTTGTTGTCTGAGAAATTGTCAATAATATAATTTTTAATTTTTATACACATTCAGTAGAATCTGTATATTTGATCAATTTCTTTATATATAAAGATGTATGAATTAAAAGTCAAAATCTTTAAATTTTAAAGCTCATTAACACATTTAATTTATGTTGCAAATTATGTAATATATCTTAATCTATTAGTTTAAAAGCCTACTTATGTTATTGTGAAAAAATTAATAAATGAAGTTCATAAAAGGTACATTACCCACCCTATTGATATTAATTATGGTAAAATAAATGTATAAATCTACCTACATACAATATGAGAAGTAATTTGATCATAATTTTTCTTATGATTTTGAAGCTGTGCATCCTGTTACTTTAAAGAGATACTACCTCTTAGAATGAACATAAAATTTAGATCCTCAAACTTGGCCAATAAGTATATAATATATTAATCACTTTAAAACAGATTTCCTCTATAATTCCATAAATCCATAAAACTAAGTAATTATTCTCAAAATGATGTTGTTTTATGGATTTAGCGGATGTGGCCAGGTTTGAGAAGTCAAGTTTGATGTTCGTTCTAAGAGGTAGTCACACTTTAATATGTGAAATATTTTTTAAATCATACTTCTGTCTATCTGACATCAGTGTATTATTATTTCACTAAAAATGTCAAATGTTAAAAAACAACCTTAAACTTTATAGGATTAAAATTTTCATAACCTTCCTCCATTAAAATATGTCTCACAATGTGGTTTGGTCCATTTTGGTTTCATTGAGGGATAGAATTAACCAAATTGCTTTATAATTAATCCTTATTAAATTTTACTGTATACCGTGCTGACACTGTACCTCATCTATTCGCAGCTTTAAACAGTAAAATCATAATCACAAAATTGATAGCAGAGCTAAAGCACATTAAACCAAACGATGTAACCTGTGCTTAACTGAAAAGCTTTACATCATAAATGCCCCTTAGTACACATCTTTAAACAAACGTTCCTTAACGTTCTCGAAGTGTAGACATGAGAATAAGTTCTCCTTATCCAACTTCAGTAGGGACGCAGGCTGAAAGTAGGTCAGTTGTCTAAAGAAATCATAGCATGAAATTCTGAGTAACAACATGATTCAATTTGTTTTAATATTTCTATATCTCTCTACAATTGATGTATTGAGCACTATTTTAACATTGAAAATATTTTATTATTGTAATCTTCAAGACCTTCATTTTACACCATGATTAATCATTCAAAACAGGTTTATTATAGGCGATTTACCACTTAATCATATACAATTTATTGCAAAGTCATTGGGTGGATCCTGATAAGCGGTATATTCAAATAGTAAACATTCCAGAGTACTTAAATACAGAATAACAGAATAAAAAA